TTGCCATTTCCTACTCCAGGGGATCTTCGCAACCCAGGGATCGAACCTGAGTCTCTTGTGTTTCCTGCATGGGCAGGTGGATTTTTTTTTTTTTTTTTAACCACTGTACCACCGGGGAAGCCCTGTAAATGCTTAGGAAGATGTAAAATCTCCTTCCATAGAAGTGAGGATAAAGTGAATGAAGACAGGCAGGCAAGAAGAAAGCTCTTCTCTGGCCTCCAACAAAACTGTACCTCCACCACGCCTCCTTGTGGAGAACTCCTAAAACACTGTCCACTCGGCCTGTTTCCCCAGGACAAATTGCCTTGAGAATGTAAAAAGAGGGCCAGGATGTCAAGGGGCCAAGATGGGCAGGATGAACACAGGTGACAGGCACGTGGACCACTGAGCAGACGTGTGGTGGGTGGAACCACGCTGTCACCTGGGGTCCCATGTGCTCCTCAGAAAGAGGCTGTGCAGGCAGACAGGGTTGTTTAGGGGCTTTGGGGACAGGGGTCTGGCCACACACCATGTGGGATCTTTGTTCCCCAACCAGGAATCGAACCCTCACCCCCTGCAGTGGAAGTGCAGAGTCTTAACCATTGGACCACCACCAGGGACTTTGCTCACAGGAGGGGACAAATACCCAGTGTGCAGAGAGGTTTGATGTGACAACTTGATAGACCACATAAGGGTTTCAGCAAAGGCCTCCCGACCCCGCTCTCCATGCATTGAGATAATGCTGGGGTGTGTAGCATATTTCAGATCTTGCCTACAAAGGCCCTCCTTCCTTCTGTTTTCCTTCTCCAGCCCAGCCGGCCCGCAGGTTCCCAGAGACTCTTGGCAGCTTGCTCTCAGGCAGAACTGAAGTTGTGAGCTGCGTGGGAGGGGGTGAGACAGCCAGAGTGTTCCAGCCTCCTTAATGAGGGGCAATAGCTCTTCTTGGAGCCACGAAGCTGCAGCTACATAGATGGGGGACCCCAGTTAGGAATGAGTGGGAGAAGTGAAGAGACACCCGCAACAGATCCGAATCTGTGTGGCTCTGTGGGGCCTATGGGGGGCTGGTTGTGTTAGAATCTCCTTCCCTGCTTAACATAAGACGTTCTGGTGGCTGCAGCCCATGGTAGTGAGCCCTCGAAAAACAACCTGAAGAGAGGAAGGAAAATTATCCAAGAGAGGGTTTCACCTTGAGTTTGTAGCTCAGATATTATAATTCCAGAGTAAGAAAGAAAATGATATTTATTTTATTTGATGGACGTCCTTCGTTGGTTTTCCTACTTTATATATGTGTGCAACTGGATATTTGTACACAGCCAATAGCTGTCTTTTGTTCTGGTTTTCAAGTGACTCCCATTATGTTTACAGCATGATAATAATCCTGGATTTTCCATGGCTCAGTCTGTCAGAGCATAAGATTAGCGCTTGAATTCATTAACAGTCATCTCCTTTTAAATGTCAGATAAATTCTTAAATGCCAAGCACTTAACACAATGGCTTCTGTGCAATTCAAATCAGCTTTACCGAATTAGCTCATTAATCTTTATTATTTCATTTCCTGAAGAGAAAGGCTTCCTGGTGTTTTTAGCAGAACATAATAATATTAAAGTATTTACAGTACAATACAGGTGAAGGAATGGGTTTTGATTTTCTGTTAAACATTTCACCCTTGCCTCAGTTTTGTAATCATTCTCACTGAAGCAGACACATTAAAAAAAAAAAAAAAAGCTTCAGGCATCTCTGCTTCCTTCTGCTTGCCCTGTTTTCCTTCCCCTAATCTGTGTTTTCCCCTCCCCTCTGCTCCCTGAGACCTTGACTCCCTCTGACTATTTATTCTGCCATCTTAAGAGCCTAGCGTGTGACTCTACCACCCAGAAACCAGAGGGGTGCCTCACAGGGTCCGGATGGAGTCAGAAGGCTGGGGCCGAACAGGCCTGGATATCAGGAACTCTCCTTTCCAAAGAACCCCTCTGAATAATCGGATACAGGCTATGCTGACTGCCAAAGATCGATCCTTCCAGGACTGGCTTCTTCCTGTCACCCAGTTCTCTGCTCAAATGTCACTTCCCCAGAGAGGTCATCCCTGATCACCCAAAGGAAAACCCCACTCCTCCCCCACCAAGCTCCAGCCTATCACCATTTCATTGTCTTCATAGATTTATCACCATCTAAAATCACTCTGCTTGTTTATGTGTTTTTCTGGCACACACAGTATCACTCAATAAATAACAGTTAATAAAGCTTTCAAACTGTGGTGCTAGAGAAGACTCTTGAGAGTCCCTTGGACAGCAAGGAGATCAAACCAATCAATCCTAAAGGAAATCAACCCTGAATATTTATTGGAAGGACTGATGCTGAAGCTGAATCTCCAATACTTTGGCCATCTGATGCAAAGAGCCAACCCATTGGAAAAGACCCTGATGCTGGGAAAGATTGAGGGCAGGAGGAGAATGTGGCAACAGAGAATGAAATGGTTGGATGGCATCACTGACTCAATCAACATGAGTTTGAGCAAGCTCCAGGAGATGGCGAAGGACAGGGAAGCAAAGCCTGTTGTACTGCAGTCCATGGGGTCACAAAGAGTCAGACGTGATTTAGCAACTGAAAAACAGCAAATGAATAAAGTGAAATGAAAACCCACCCCAGTGCTTAGCTTTCTTTCCTTTTCCTCTTACCACTACTTTCCAAAATCCTATTTATGTATTTAATCTTTCCTCTCATCTCCCAAACCCCCTTTCCCTATCATGTGTCTGTTAGAATACTTGAACGTAATCAGCAAGAACAGTACTGCGTGGACTTCCCTCGTGGCACAGTGAATAAGAATCTGCTTTCCAATGTAAGGAACACAGGTTTGATCTCTGGTCCAGGAAGATTCCACGTGTTGTGAAGCAGCTAAGCCCGTGCGCCACAAATCCTGAAGCCCACGCACCTAGGGCCAGGGCTCCACAACAGGAGAAGCCCCTACATCCCAACCGGAGAGGAGCCCCCGCTCTCCGAAACCAGAGACAGCCTGCGTGAGGCAGCTAAGGCCCAGTGCAGCCAAAAAATAAATAAATTTTAAAAAACAGTACTGCACGTTCCAGTGACTGTAGAGTCTCACTGGAAACATTCCATCAAGCTAGAATTGATGGCCCCCGAACCTTAGGGAGATGAGCCATACAGTGAAGAAAATCGTTTTATCAAATGATTTATAGGCTAAGTGATCTGGAGAGGCATCTCAAAGTCTCTCAGCTCCCTGCTCTCTAATCTGAGCACCACATAAGGAGTTAAAATAATTCCAGCCATTGGATCGAGTCTTGGCTGTGTCTTTTGTCCTCCAACCTAACACAGAATCTTCTCTTGAAGATCATGGAGAAACTTCCCTCAAAACCAGTATTGTCTGATTTCTATTATTCCACCCAGTGACTCATGCATGGTTTTGGAAGTTCAGTTCAGTTCACTTCAGTTGCTCAGTCGTGTCCGACTCTTTGCGACCCCATGAATCGCAGCACGCCAGGCCTCCCTGTCCATCACCAACTCCCGGAGTTTACTCAAATTCATGTCCATCGAGTCGGTGATGCCATCCAGCCATCTCATCCTCTGTCGTCCCCTTCTCCTCCTGCCCCCAATCCCTCCCAGCATCAGGGTCTTAGAAAGCTTCAAATGCTTTGTTTGATTCTCATTTGGACCAAATGCTTTCATTTGATCTAGAAACAGGGAGGGGAAGTCTCACTTGGAGAAGCTAATCAGATATATAACTGAGATGACAAAAAAAAAAAAAAAATGGGTATGTATTTGTCCAGAAAAATCTTCATCTCTAACCTCATTTCAAAACAAAGGAAAAGGGTGTGGATGTTCGGAATGATGGCTGCCTATGGGGATTCGCTGACTGTTAATTTATCATTAACACTTAAAAGTAATACAAATGTGATGGGAGGGAGAACTATGCCCAGAGAGACAGTCATTCGAGAGTTAGTCTCCTAGAGAATATGGAGATGATCAAATCCACACCCAGGGTGATCTCATGGCACACTAATGTATGTGACCCCAGGAAATCAGCCCTGAAAAATAACACGTCACTTTCCTCTGGGAATGAAGAAGCCAGTGGACAGTCCTCGAGGTCAGCATGTGCTTCCTGGATGTCTCTCTTGCCCTCCCCAACCAAGTTGGGCCATAACATGTAGCTTGCTCACAATGTTATCATTACTTTTTTTTTTCCATGCTTTTTTATGGTGGTAAAAGTCACATAATATAAAATATATTTATTTTAACTGTAGTTAACTGTACAGTTCAGTGGCACTAAGAACTTTCACATTGTTGTGGAGGTCTCACCATCATTCATCTACCAAAATTTTCACCTCTCCTAAACTGAAACTCTGACCCATTAAACCCTAACTCCCTATCCTCCACCCAATGCCCCTACACCTGGTAGAGCCCCTGGCATCTACCAATGTACTTTCTGACTCAATGAATTTGTCTATTCTAGGTACCTCATATGAGTAGAATCAAACTGTATTTGTTTGCACCTAAAGTATATTGGAATCCATTTTAAGGTTAATTTATGTCCTACAGATTTTACCTTCTTTTTCTCCCCCTGTGGTAGGTTCTCATTAGTTACCTATTTTATCCATGAAGTGAAGTGAAAGTCACTCAGTCCTGTCCAACACTTTGCGACCCCACGTACACAGTCCATGGAATTCTCCAGGCCAGAATACTGGAGTGGGTAACCTTTCCCTTCTCCAGGGGATCTTCCCAACCCAGGGATCAAACCCAGGTCTCCCACATTGCAGGCGGATTCTTTACCATCTGAGCCACAAGGAAAGCCCTCTGTGTGTATTTTAAATATAGTGTGTGTGTGTGTGTGTGTGTGTGTATCTCTTAATATCCCAATTTATCTCACCATCACCACCCTCCTCCCTTGGTGTCTATACGGTTGTTCTCTATGTCTGTGTGTCTATTTCTGCTTTGCAAAAATGTTCTTCTGTACTATTTTTCTAGATTCCACATATATGTGCTAATATACGATATTTGTTTGGTTTGGCCAGTATGGAGCAAGTGTATGTTCATTTCCTGACCCTGTGCGGGGCACGGCAGCTACCTCGGAACAGGACAGCCACGGTCTCCTGCCCTCGTGGAGCTTCCAGTCTGGTGGGGAGGAAAAGGTGGCTGCACATGCATGAGCGTCTCTCTGGGCAGTGGTGGGGAGAGCTGTATTCTTCAAGATGTCACAGGAGGCATAGATGAGCCAGACCCAAAGGACAGGGAGGAGTTAAAAGGGAGGGGTGTGGTCCCCAGAGAGGGGGTGCACAGGGTAGCCTTGCTCCCGGAACTGAAAGGTCAGAGCTGATGGCAGGCCTCCGAACTTGCTCTTCCCATGGTGAGGTCAATGCTTCCCATAGAGAGCCCCACCAAAACTCCCCTCACCTCCTTCAGAGTTTTGCTCAAACACTGCTTTCTTGTAGGGGTTGTGGGGGTTGGGGCCGGGGGCAGTCCTTGACTACTTAAAATTGCAACCTCCATCACCTTCCCCAGCTGCTCCTCACTCCCCTCTCTGCTTTATTTTTCTCCATATCACAAGTAACCTTCAGAGTAACTGATGTTCCACCTATTTGCTTGTTATTTCATCCCTCTCAGTGGAATGCATGTGCGGTTTTCCTGAGAGTGAAGCTTCTGTCTGCTTCTTGCTCTCCTGGGCATAGAACAAGCACACAATAAGTATTTGCAGAATGACTGAATGAGACAGGAAAGATAGTCCAGGGCCAGGCAAGAAGAGGCATGTAAACCTTTTAAGCGGGTTGGCCTTCATCCTGAAGGGAAGTGCCTGTGAAGGTCTTAAGCAGAAGACTGATGTGGTCCAGTTTGCATCCAGAAAAAGTACCTAGGTTGCAGTACAAAGCATGGGCTGGCAAGCAAGTTCAGGATATACTTTGTCATGCTCTGTGGGGTGACAACATTTGCATGTTGTGGCCACAGGAGATCAGAAAATCCCCCTGGACGCCTCCATCAGCCTATTCATCCTTCCCTCTCTGCTAGATTTGTTCAAATCACTCTTTCTAACACATCAAATACATTTTAAATTTGGAGATAAACTGGAGTCTTGATATAACTGTGTTAGTTGCAAGGCAGATTTCATAACTGTTCATGGACTGTAGAAGTAGCAAAAAGATCTCATCAAAAAAGGAGTTCAGAAAAAAAAAAAGTTCCGGGCAGTCCATGATTTCAACTCTGCATTTACCTGCTGTGTGACTTTGGGCAAGCTACTTAACCTCCAAGAGCCTCTAGTTCCTCATCTGCAAAATGGGGATAGCAATACCTGCCTCACAGAGCCGTTGGGAGGATTATATAAAGTGACGGCTACCCAGCGATACAGTAAAGTGCCTTTTCCCACTTCCCCATCATGCCGACCCCAGGTGTGAATTCATAACCAGTCTAAGGTATCCTCCACACATATGCCTCCCCTGTGTCTTCCCTGTAAAAATAGGTGTTACTGTTAGTGTTCCAACGATGAAGAATTGCTTTCTATAAATATTTGGGGATTCAGACTAGTTCTTGTCGTACTGTATATCATTCCTGTGAACACTGGGCTTTCTGCTTCTCTTCACAGGGAGCCCAGCAGTCCTTGGAGGCAGCAGCTCAGAAGACAGGGGAGCCTCAAAGTTGTATAAATAAAGGGCTGATATGTTCAAACAGAAGAGAATTTTACACGCGCAAGCTGCACCTCGACATGATGCCGCTCCTGAAGGTGATTTCACACTGAGAAGACGAGGGGCTTTATAGACGCATACACAGGAATTCCAGCTAATACGCTTCTGCATGGTACAAAAAACAGCTTCAGAAGTCCCTCAGAGTTCCTGCTTTATCATAAGGGACAGAAAATAGGCAGTTTGTAGCAGAGGAAGATAGAACAAATTAGGACAGTAATCACAGGCAGCCATCGGGGACAAATCAGCTGGGTGTCTGGTTTGGTTGGTGGAGGACAGGGAAGAGAGGAGAAAGGATAACCTTGAACCACTCATAAAACAGGTAAATATAACTCATTTTATCTTGACAGTCATTAAAGTAATTGTTACTGCTTTACCCCTCTAAGTGGGTAGGGCTGATAACCCTACCACAGAGAAGGCTAACTCTTGAGTTAACTATTTAGAAGGCAACTGCCAATCCTCTCCTGGATGTCTGACCCTGTTTTCCACTTGCTTGGAGTTCGTTACTTTCCCAAGCTCAGCTTCAATTCAGCTAAGGGTACTGAGAGTTCCTGTGGTGGGGATGGCACTTGTCCATCTCTGCAATACGCCCCCCTGCCCTGGCATCTGGGCATGAAAGCAACTGGCCCGTGGAAGATGCTTCCTAAATGCTCCAAAAATGGGTCCCCTTTTCATCCCACAATCCTCTGGCTTAAGAGCCTCTTTCTCCCCATTATTTGCCCCCCTCAGAGGTGAATGAACAAGAAATGAATGACCTTAGAGTGAAAGAAACTGATCAGGAACAAAGCAAGTCTTGGCATGGAAGGGTCTCAGATCCTTCATACTGCCCTCAAAAACAAGATCCCAGGTCCTTGATAAGAAGTGGTGACTAAGAAGGATAGAAACAAAGGTGATGACGTCAAACACTCATGGGGCTCATGATGGGAGCACTTTCCAGTGCTTAGACTGGTGGGGACTTCCAAGTTCATGTGGGTCACCCTCCCAACCTCACTGGTCCAGAGTTCTTAGGTTCCAGCTGCTCTGAGTGGGCCCAGTCCCAGCTCTGCCAGGTGGGGCTTTGATTCAGAGTCATGCATTTGCCCCAGATCTGTGTCTCTGCATGGCTGGGCTCTTCTTTCCTGTTTCCTCTTAGATAGACTCTTTCCCCATGGTTTCAGGACAGCCACAAGCTTCTGTTTTCTAAACCACTGGCCCAGCTTGAGTCACGTGGCCATGTACAATGAACCACCACGGCCAGAGGAACGGAAGACACTGATTTCCCCAGCCCAGAGCCACAGGAACTCAGAGTGGTCATGGGGCTCATGATGGGAGCACTTTCCAGTGCTTAGACTGGTGGGGACTTCCAAGTTCATGTGGGTCACCCTCCCAACCTCACTGGTCCAGAGTTCTTAGGTTCCAGCTGCTCTGAGTGGGCCCAGTCCCAGCTCTGCCAGGTGGGGCTTTGATTCAGAGTCACGCATTTGCCCCAGATCTGTGTCTCTGCATGGCTGGGCTCTTCTTTCCTGTTTCCTCTTAGATAGACTCTTTCCCCATGGTTTCAGGACAGCCACAAGCTTCTGTTTTCTAAACCACTGGCCCAGCTTGAGTCACGTGGCCATGTACAATGAACCACCACGGCCAGAGGAACGGAAGACACTGATTTCCCCAGCCCAGAGCCACAGGAACTCAGAGTGGGGAGGAGAGGAGTGTTTCCAAAAGGAAAACTTAAAAGTAGAAGAAGAGAATGGTTCTGGGAAGCAAAACTAAAGATTTTCCTAGAAGTATTCAAAACAATTACTTTGATTCATTACTCATTGTATGCCACCAAAACAATGTACCACAGTCAGGGTGGTTTAAACAACAGAAATTTGTTTTCTCACAATTCTGGAGGCCAAAAGTCCAAGCTCAAGGTGTCAGCAGAGTTGATTTATTCTGAAGTCTTCTCATTGCTCGTAGGTAGATAGCCATCTTCTCTATGTGTCTTTACGTGATCTTTCCTCTATACATGTCAGTGTCCTAATCTCCTCGTGTTTAAAGACACCAATTGTATTGGCTTATGGCCCATCCAAACAACTTCGTTTTACCTCTTTAAATATCCTATCTCCAAACACAGTCACATTCTAGAGTACTGAGGGTGGACTTCAACATGCAAATTTCAAAGAAACACAATTCATCCCCAAACACTTATATTAATGAAACTATGCTTTTCTTTTCCTTAGCAGCACTTTAGTTCTTCCCTTTGGGCTTGAAGAATTATGGTTGATGCTTCCTGGGATGAGATATCGCCATTAGCACTATTCATTCATTCAACTCATAATGAGCATCCACTACCTACTGTGTGCCTGGCACTTTCTGGGCCTTTGAGATATATCAACAAACAAAGGAGATAAATCCTTGTCCAGGCAACATATACGGTAAATTAATAACTGCTATGTAAGTAAGACAAGAACATATTTACGGAGCCTCTAGAAGCTGCAAGTGAGGGATTTTACCATTTTTTTCTGTGTATTTAGTGTCCACAGTGCTTTCCTGTTACACTTTTTCATTCAGCAATTTTGGCACCATTTTATAGAAGGAAAGGCACTGTCATCCCCAAGGCCCACTTTCTAGTCCATCCTTTTCAAGACTCACAGAAATTATAACTCAGTCTGCTTCTGCATGAGACTGATGGGCACACTCCAGACTTTCTGACTCCCAGACCAGTCCTTGCCCCTAATACTATATCTTTTCTTGCAAATGTTCAGTGTTAACAGCTCTCCCTAGATAGACCTTCTGCTTGCTGATGTGGCAGCTGCCAGACTCTTAGGGGCTGCCTTGTAGAAAGACTCAAATCTCAGGATTGTACATCAAAGGATGGAGAGCTCAAATCAAGAAAGGCACACAGGCTGTTCAACTCAGTCTATACTTTTCATTTCTGCACTTCCTGCCCAGTCACAGGGCATTTCATTCATTTTTGGCTGGCGTGTGTAGGAAACAGTGCACATTTCAGGGGAAAGAGGGTAAGAAATAAAAATATTGGAGCAGAAAAGGGAAATGGAAAGGGATATAAATAATCACAATTGCTAACATGAATGAACAATTGTTCTGTGCTAGGCTCTGTTAGAAGTTTTACAGGCAAGAACTCATTTAACTCAAAGCGAATCTAAGAACTAGGTAGCATTATCCCATTTTACAGATGAGAAAAGTAAGGTCTTGAGAGGTAAAGTGACTTCTCAGATGTCATACAGTTGGTCAGGCAGCCCTGCTCCGGAGTCCATGTTTTGTTTGTTTTTTTCTTGGGCACGCCACATGTCACGAAGAAGCCAGTGCCCCCTGCAGTGCACGTGTGGTCTTCACTACTGGACCACCAGGGAAATGCTGGGACCCATGTTTCGACCACTTTGCTATAAAACTTCCTTGCAGACCTCAGCTGAGTCCTATCCAATCAAAATCAGCGCCTACCAAATTAGATAAGCATCTCACCAGCGCCTTCTAGAAAATTCCATCCCTAAGCACTCATCCAGTCTTTTGCAGGAAGATTTTCTGATTCTGCGGGACTCTGCCATTCCCCTCGGTTTCACCTGCATTCTGTGGAGTCAGCATAAAGCTTCCTCTCCCCACGAGCTCTCATTTCCCTTCAGACAAGATGCATTGAGCATTCACTGTGTATCAGACACTGTTAGGCACCGGAGTACGGAGATGAATCATCGCCATGCCCGGCCTTCCAAGGAGTCCACAGTCTAAGAAGAAGATAAACAAAGAAGTGGATGGTATCAGCGCAGTTTTGTGCAGAGGTCGGCCCAGGTTGCTACAGGAGAGACTCCTTCATTTATTACGCATGGAATCCTCCTCAGATTCAAGAACGTCTTTATAACACTGAAGGCAATGCTGCCAGCCCATTTTATAGGATAATCTGTATCAGGCTTAGATTTGGGGAGACATGATCAATCCAGAGTATATCTGGGTTCACATAAAAATTGGCCCATGTTTTTTCTTTTTAAGTCTATTTTTGTAAAAGAAAGGGTCATTGATGAATAAATTAAGATAGAGATTTTTTTTCCTGGGAATTTTAATAAATTATCAGGGTTAGGTCATGGCAGTGGGGAAGAAAATAGCAATAATGCCAATTAATGCTAGATACAGGATTGAATATGCTTATACTCGACACTGACATCAAAGGGTATGTATGTCATGCCCAGAAGATATGAAGAATGAAAAATAAGCCTCCGCCTCAGAGCCATCATATAGGCAGTCATCGCTTGGCGCCCTTGAATCCCGACAGGGGGACCTGCCTGAAATGGGGTACCCTGAGTTGTCCCCTGTCCCCAGTTGGGAGTCAGGTGTTACTTGGGTGTTACTTACACAGGCCGGTGTGGGGACATCCCGCCAAGAAGAGTCTGGCTGTCACTACCCTGAACCCTGTGGTCATGTGGGGAAGAGACAACGTGGACTTCAGTGAGCAGAAGTAATGGCAAAACAATGCTGGGCTCGAGACGTTGTCCAGAGGTGGAGTGGGCCCCTGAGGAGGGAAATTCCGGCGCCCAGAGTCATTGAAACCGGCTTTGCTGACCACCAGCAGGCAAATTGCAGGTGAATCCCGAGCTGCTTTCCAGACGCGGTGACCCCAGGACACTTGAAAATAATTTTTCCAGCAAGAATATTCAGGGCACTGAGTCTGTGACAGTTCCCCAAAAAAAGAAGCCCGAATTAAGTGGACTCTCATCAATATTAAAGCATCTGACCAGGAGTTGGGAAGCCCTGGGTGTTCTCGGACTCTGAGCAACCTTGTCACGCTTGTGAGACTCCTCTTCAGCTGCCTCTTCAGTAAGATGGAAATAATAATACTGGAACCTCCCTGCCTACCTCTCAATGGTGAGGTGAGAATTAGATGAAATAATAATTTTCAAAGAGTGTTCACATCTATAAAGGTTTTGATTCACAAAGGAAAAAGAAAGAAATATTCACTGATCCCTGCTAAGAGCAGGCCTCCCACATATTAAACCTTATTTAATTTCCCCCACCCCCTTCCTGGGAAGTGTATAGTTCACCACTGTGCAGATGAGCAAACTGAGGACTGGTGAGATGAGCAAACCAAAGGGTGATGTAACTGGCGGGAGAGGGAGCTAGTTTTCAAAGCCACCAAACCCACAATTCCTGTTATTGATGAGGTTTATCTGTGCTGTTCCTGAGAAGAATTTAATTGTATATCTTTGTTCAGGCTTTCAGTACCTGGAAGAGGAACAGAGATTTAATACTTTCATCTTAATAATGCAAGATATCTTATGATTTTCATAAATCCATTTGCTATATTGAAGAATGAATGTGAGATCTTTTTAATACATGAGAAAAGTTGTACGACCTTGCAGTTGAAACTCACAAATGAGACCTTGATTTCCTTCCAGCATCAATGAGGCATTGAAATTTGGTCATGTAGATGCATGTGTTAAATGATATGTTACAAAGAATTTCCAAATATATTTTCCTAATTTAACTTCTCAACAACTCTCTACAAAATGTATCATTACTCCCATTTCACAGATGGAGAGGCTGTGATCAGTCATACAGCACGAAGCTCTCTGGCTCCTGCTCCCCCATCCACCCTGCAGTTCTCTCCCGAAGCCTGCCATGGGCCTAGAAGTCCCATGCTCAGATAGGGGGCTGGGTGTGAGGGGAGGGGGCGGGGCCAGTGGAAGGTTCTCCAAGAACAGCTGGGACCTTCAGGACACCTGGCCCAGCCCCTGTCTGCTGCAGAAACTGAGGCTCAGAAAGTAAGCACCTCACATGGTCTGTCAGGCCTGAGATGTAGGATCCGAGCTTCAGTGCCCAAGGTCTGAGTCCAGGGCCTGCACCCCAACCCCTCGGGCAACTGTCTCTCTTGTCTGGTTTTAGCGCTGCAGTTTGTGTTTCCCAAGTGTTTGTTGCCATCCCCACTCACCCGCACCCCTCCCCAGCCCTAGAATACCACGCTGTTGCCAGCTCTCTTTCTAAATACAGCTCAGTCATGCCACTGGTTTGCTTGAAATTTCCTACCACGTCCCCATTGGCCTTCCGGTTAAATCCTGGCATCAAAAAATGTATTTCTTTTATAAATAGAAAAATAGAGCAAACAAAAAATTTTTTTAAAAAACTCTGGACTGCAATATGCAAGATCTGGCTGGCCAGAGTCTGGTCCCCACTGTCTGGGCCCTAAAACCACGCCGACAGTCCCGGCTGGCGCCAGCACAGCCTCCTTGCTCTGCGGGAACTGCCCGCCTCCCCTTCCCCGCAGGACTTAGCACCACGTCCACTGGTAAACAAACCTCCCCAGCCTAATTTAGCTTCACCTCCCCTGAGGTCCTGCAGAAACCTGTCATATCACTACATTTATCACACTGCCTGGCAACGGTGAGATTTCTTGTTTCTCTACTGAGAAACAAGTCACTGAGCTTCTCACAGATTTTTCAGCTCTGTGCCCCCAATGCCCAGCACAGCCCCTTGCACACAGCAGACACTCAATATATAGTCGTAAGCTGGATGAACAGATGAAGAGTGAACGACTTGGCCAGAACAACTGAGCTGGGATCTGAATTTTCTGTCCTTTGATTTTTCTGGCTCACTTACCCAGCATTATTGCCTGTGTTTCGATCATTGTCTTTGTTAACTCATTAAAAGCGACAGCATTTTATTTGGTTTTAGTTTTTTCAGTTCAAATCTTGAATTCAAAATATATTCAGGAGGTTTAAAATATTTAATTATAAAAGGGTATGTCTCCCAGCTGGGCTCCCTCCACATCAGACACCACTATTGGCTAGTTTTCTGTGTACCCTTCCTGGGGTAGAGACATATTTTATATGTTTTCACATATTATACTGGAAGAGGAAATGGCAACCCACTCCAGTATTCTTGTCAGGAGAATCCCATGGACAGAGGAGCCTGATCCATAGGATCACAAAGAGTCGGTCACTACTGAAGTGACTTAGCAGATTATGTATTATACACATTGCTTACAGTCTTACTTTATTTTTTTTACTTAATATATCTTGGAGTTCTACTTCAATTCATTAAGAGATGCTTTTTATTAGTTGCATTGTATTCCATTGTGTCAATGACCATGATTTACTTAATATATCCCCAATTAATGAGACATGTAAGTTGTTTCCAATATGCTGCAATGAATGACCTCAGATGTGTCTTTTCACATGTGTGTACATATATATAAAAAATGATAGGTTTTTGACACCTTTCTAAGCAACAGGCAGAATCTTTCTTAAGGCCACACCACATGACTTGAGGGGTCTTACTTCCCAGACCAAGGATTGAGCCCACACTCTTGAGAGTAGAAACAGGAAGTCCTAACCGCTGGACCACCAGGGAATCCCCCAGAATTTCAAATTAAAACTATTTATTTTTCTAACAGGGACTCATCAGAAAATTCTTTCCAAATCCCCAATTCTGTCTCCACCTCTCCATATGTGAAAGGAGAAGAGTATTTCTTGCCCCTGAAAGCTCATAGCTGCTTGCTGTTAAGACTGAAGGTTTACTCTTCTGGGCTTTGAAATTCTTCCAAAAGAGGAAGCCTGTTTTTCCCTTTTAATCCAATTTCCTGTTAGACTAAAAGGATTTATAAACAGGATTTTTTAAAATTTATCTCTTTTCTAGTCTTCTAACTTATCAGTTTACAAGACTGAGGCAGGTTCCTGTAATCGTTTTTTTTTTTTTTTTTTCAAAAACCTTTCTATTTATTCAGGGATGCATTTTTTTCTTTTTTAACTGCATCAGGCCAAATCTGCTTTGTCTCCAAAAGGACACATGCAAAAGAAGGAAAGTTACTTACCTGCTGTAGGTTTTCTTAGTCAGAATATCTCAGCAGCCACAAACACAGGGTAAAAAGCCACCAAGCAAGCAGAGGATGTCAAAACAAATTCCAGATAATCATCTCTTCTCAAAGCAGCTTGGGTATTTGAGGATAAAGTGGGAAACTGACTGTCAGCTAAAGGGTGAGGAACTCGAGTCCCGGGGGGAGGCTTCTAGGGCCCTCAGATTCCTTCCCCATGGCTGAAGTGAAGCTGTGTATTAAGCAGATTCGGGTGACAGAGGCCAAGAGCTGGCCTTACAGCACACTGGGGGCTTTATTTGAGTCACTGACTCTATCTGCCACATTTCCTTGGCAACTCAAGAACTGCTCTTCCTGCCCTCTAGAGAATGGTTCTCAATCCTGGCTGCATATTGGAATCACCCAAGAAGCCTTAAAGATGCCCCAGCTCCAGAAAGTCTGATTTTAACGTTTGAGGTTAAGGTCTAGGAATCTTCAATCCTAAAGGAAATGAGCCCTGAACATTCATTGGAAGGACTCATGCCAAAGCTGAAACTCCAATACTTTGGCCACCTGCTGGGAAGAGCCAACTCATTGGAAAAGACCCTGATGCTGGGACAGATTAAAGGCAGGAGGAGAAGGGGACGACACAGGATGAGATGGTTGGATGGCATCAGTGACTCAATAGACAGGAACTTGGGCGAACTCCGGGAGATGGTGAGGGACAGGGAAGCCTGGCGTATTGCAGTCCATGGGGTCGCAGAGTCAGACACGACTTGGAGACTGAACAACAACTGTCTAGGAATATTTTTTTTAAGTTCCGCACATAATTCTAAGACCCAGCCAGGGTGGAGCACCATCATTATAGAGATTTCTGGGTGGTGGGATTGCAAGCAGCTTGTATCACTCAGAGAAAGAAGAAAGGGTTTCATGTGATAAGAAATCCAGTCCACGGTTCTCCTGGAAACCCTGCAAGCCTGACCCTTTCGCTCCCCCACTTCAATCCCTCAGTCCTTCCGTCTGTTTTCAAGGTAAAGACCAAGGTACTGAGGGTCTGACTTCTCCCCAACCTTTCCGCTTTGCCCCATCTCTGCAGTGTCACACTGGAACCCCCTCGAGTGCCTGTGGGTACGTCACTGCCTTCTGTCAGTCGATCTTTGCCAGCGACATTCTTTTCCCCAAGTGTGCCAGGCATGGAGCACAGCTTGGACAGGTAGACAAGCCTTCCCCAGAGAATGACAGATGAAGGCAGTGGTCAAGGTCACTGCTAAGCCCACCTGGCTCTTCAGGGCCATTCACCCTGGCAGCAGACTTCTTGGACACTTAAGTTAAAATAAACTGACAAAGGAGGAGAAGAGACCACTAAGAAAACTGGATTCCCCTGTAGCAAAGGGCATGGACCCTAGGAGTGCTTGCATTTATTGTGTCTTACGTATCTTTTGTTGTTATTAACTAACAGGCAAGTGGAAAAGAGATGGATGATCATGAAGAGGCTGGAGAACTCCTCAGAGAAAATCATCCAGACGCTCAAGGTAGAGACAGTTGGGCTGGATTTTATCATATCTGATTACGAGAATTGTGGGATGAACTGTGCATTGTTCAAAGATGTTAATGAGGAAAGACCATTCCATTTCCTGTCAGGTCATGGGTTGGAAATCAGAGTATAGACTCTGATGCACTCTTAATGCATCACAAGCCAACTGATAATAACATGCTTTTATGTCCATGGACTTGAGAGACTTATTTCCTGCCAGCGGCTACAGACTGATGGAAGGCAGTGGAGACTTTGGGGCATTACAAAAAGACCCCACATGCACATCTGTCTCTGCTTCTCCTGCTTTTCCCAGCACTTGGGTATGCAGGTGAGGGACCCGAGATTCCCTGTCTGGAGGGATGACCTTACAACAAAGGGAGACCAGCATCTTTGGAGACCCAGCCCCTGACACCCAGAACTCTGGGTGACCAGAGCTGTTTGAATGTGACTTCCTCCAAGAACGATGCTGCATGTGATAATGATGATGACTCTGGGAAAGATTGGGCCCAGAACTAGGCTTTGGGGCATAGCTTATATTCTGATACCCTGAACTCGAAGCTCTTCCCTGGTGGGGAGCACCTGGGCTTGCTACAGGGTGCTTCAGTTAGCTAGGCCCAGGTCCACAGAGGTGGTCTTTATCCTGATTGCTTCTTGCAGGAGTGGAAACAGATGTATGAGAAACACTGCACTCTCAAGGAGTGGAAGCAGGGTCCGCCAGACAGAATTGCTTTTGTGGATTGCTGTATAAAAGCGTCCAGCAGAGGGAGCCAGAAGGTGAAAATGAAGTCGCTCAGTCTTGTCCGACTCTTTGCGACCCCACGGACTGTAGCCCACCAGGCTCCCCCATCCATAGAATTTTCTAGGCAAGAGTACTGGAGTGGGTTGCCGTTTCCTTCTCCAGGGGATCTTCCCAACTCAGGGATCAAACCCGGGTGTCCCGCATTGCAGGTAGCCGCTTTACCGTCTGAGCACCAAGAAATCCCTAGAGGGAGCCAGAGGGGGCTGAAATCCCGCCTGTGCCCTGTTCCCAGGCGCTCCACCCCTGGGTGCATCTACCCCGGGGAGGCTCCTTCCCCTACGTGGTCCTTCTACCGGGACACCTTTCTGTAAGTCACATAAGGTTCTCTGGAGAGCCGGTCAGCAGCAGATCTGAGCAGATGAGTGGAGAGCCTGGGCTCTGGAGATGGACTACCTCTGCCCTAACCTCCCCACCTCAGTATCCTGTTTTCATCTGAAAACAGGACTGCGCTTGGACTTCCCTGGAGGTCCAGTGGTTAAGACTCCCAGCTCCCACTGCAGGGGGCGCGGGTTTGATCTCTGATCGGGGATCTAAGATCCCACAAGCTGCATGGCTTGACCGGAAAATCGTCAGGGGCGGGGGGGGGCGGGGGGGAACAGTACTGCCCTGCCGTGGTAAGTTTGCATGAGGGATAAATGAAGTAATTCATGTAACGTAGCCCTTTAATGAATATGAATCTCAACTTGGATATCTCGATGAATAAGCATGTACCCTCTCACAGCCACATTTTACCAGTCTGTGAAATGACAGCACGATTCTTTCTATCCTGTCTGGACCCCCACAGGGTGAGAGAGACCATAAAGCTAACTGGAGATAAAAGTGCGAGTCATGGATTTGGGGGTTGCACCCTAACTTGATCTTTTTCTAGTGTATATCTTTTGCTATTTTTTTTCAAATGACACTCCCCTCCCAAAATTAATTTTAATATTCATTACAATTTTCATACTAATTTTTTAAATTTTCATTGCTTCTGAATATCAGACAATAAAATATTACAGTAGCCGGATCCCTGTGTTCAGTCAAACTTTTAAGCAAGGTTTCTGCTGACCTATGTCTCCTGCCACCTCCGTTTTAAAAGCTGAGTAACAATAGCCAGGGAAATGTGTTCCGGTCTTCAGATCTTCCATATCGTAAATCGCATATCCAGATTGTGAACACTGATGAGGCTCCAAGGTCTTGGCCAAGTACAGTGAAGGTTTTACGCAGCGCAGAACATGGCCAAATCTAAGCAATGACCAAGTCAGTCAAAACAGATTTCCTGGGAGGGACAGTCCCCGGCTAAGTTCTATAAAGGTTACCCAGACAGTCTTTAACCCAGTGAAATATCACCACAGAAAATTAAAGAAAGCATTTGCCTGTCCCAAATGATAAATGCTAATGTTCAAAAAGGATTTCAAATCTTTGAAGGGAAAAAAAGGAGGGAGTGCCAAGGAATTTTTTTTAACTATTTAAGGATCAGTTTTCCCCTCATAGGTCTTACAACTAATTGTCAGGATTTTTTTCCTCCTCTAAATTAAGTGGTGAGCTGCAAGATTAACTATAAGCAATGAGCCAAGGCCACATCCAGTGAGAATACCCTGAGTCTTGGACTTGCTGAGAACATAGCATGCAAGTTTTCACAAGACAGGTCAAATCAGCAACCGCCAAATCAGAGAGGGCTTGGGAAACAGCTCTTATTTTAAATATGAGACTTTCCTTTCTACCTCTCGTTCTCACCCCCAAAGTCCAAGGAAGGAATAAAACTTCCATCTTTTTTTTTCTTCTTGGCTGCACTGGGTCTTCACCGCTGTGCATGGACTTCCTCTAGTTACGGTGCACAGGCTTCTCATTGCGGTGACTGCTCTTGTAGCAAAGCAAGACCTTCAGTAGTTGTAGCACAAGGACGCGATAGTTGTGACTTTCGGGCCCTAGAGCATACAGGCTTCAGGAATGGCAGCAGGTGGGCTCAGAGGTTGTGGCACATGGGCTTAGTCGCTCCTCTGCATGTGGAATCTTCCCAGACCAGGGATTGAACCCGTGTCCCCTGCATAGGCAGGAAGTGTCTGATCCACTGGACCACCAGGGAAGTCCAAAATTTCCATTCTTCTCTCAATTCTTGTTTATTTCCTAGGCCAACTGCTCTCAAACTTGAGTGTGCCTCAGAACCACCTGGAAGACTTGTAAAGATAAAGATGTCTGGGCCTCCAGAGTTTCTGACTCACTAGATCTGGGCTGAGGTCATAGCATTTACTATTTTATTAAGTTCCTCAGTGAGTCTGAGGCTAGTGGTCCACAGCCCACACTTTGAGAACTACAATCTTGGGCCTTGCTTCAAGGAGTTCTCTCTCTGAATTTGACAGTGACTCAGTTTAATCTGTTCTTTTGGACATAATGGAAGTATGAACATTGGAGGGCTCTGTTTAGGCAGCGTCACAGTGGTCAAGAGCATCTATTGGGAATTCCCTGGTGGTCCAGCGGTTGGAACCGTGGGCTGTGGGCCATGGGCCTGGGTTCAATTCCTGGTCAGGGAACTAGGATCCTGCAAGTCTCATAGTACAGCCAAAAGAAAAAAGAGCACCAATTATCAAATCTGAGTCCCTGGGTTCAAATCCTGGTTCCACCACTTACTAACTGTGCAGCCTTGAGTAAGTTACTGAACTTCCCTGGGTATCTTTTCTCCTCATCTGTCAAATGGGGGTACTAATAGTACTTCTTTTGTGGGGTGGTTGTAACATACAGGAGTTAATACATACAGTGTGCTTGCAAGAATGCCCGCACACAGTGAGCAGTACTCACTGAAGGTTAGATACTAGGCTACTTCTTAAATACCTTATTTTAGTAGCCCTATCAGGAAAGACTTGTTCTCGGTTTAACATGATGTAACATAATGATTTACTTTCCAAATCTGTCTCATTTGCAGGGAGGCAGGCTGGGGTTGCTGGCTCTCAGGGACTGACTGAGTCCTCTGTGAAAGTCCTTCTTCTGCTGAGGTTCAGGGCCAGGTAGCACACCCACTCTGAATGAGGTCATGTTGCAGTAGTGACAGAAGCCCTCGGAATGTGGCAGACCTTAAAATAGTCTCAGGAGCTTTGACAGATCTGGGGAGCCCTACATGAGTGCAGGGGTTCCCCAGTGACTAGCCTGAAACAATACAGGGTGGGAGACAAAAGGCACATCTGGCAGAAAGCCTTAGAGACCAACCATTTCTATTCTACCAGGAAAAAAGGCTCAGAGCATCGTTGCTCTGTCATGCAAGAGACAGATGTGCAGTAGTTAGGATGTTGGTTCTAACAAAGACCAAGATAATGTGGCTTCGAACAAGAGGGAAGGTTTATTTCTCTCTCAGGGAAGGGTCCGAGCTGGCAGGCAGAGGGTGGAACATCTCCGCTCCACAGTGCAGTCCAGAGACCCAGGCTCTCTCTTCTCATCTCTCTGGCACTCCATTCGCTGTCACCCCTGTCTGCCTGGTCAGAGCTGGCTCAGCGTCCCCCTCACCCTGCAGGGCAATGGAGGGAAAGGCCCAGCTGCCTTGTAAGAGCCTAATTCAGGAATTGCACCTGTTCCACCTCTGCTCATATCCCGCTGGCTCACCTGGCTACAAGTGAGGTTGGGGAGTGAAATATCTTGCTGTGTGTTCATGCGTCAAGCTAAAATGTGAGGGGGTCTGCCACCCAAACACAGGGCAGAATGGACATTAGGTGGGACTTAGCATCTCTGCCAAGGTGGGAAGATGGCTCTGTCTGGCAGATGCTACCACTTCCCTGCCTCATGGACTCAGAGTCACCATGGTGGGCCATTTCTCTCTTCCTTTTTTTTTTTTGGCCGTGCCACACGTCATGTGGAATCCTAGTTCCCTGACCAGGGGTCAAACCCATTCTCCCTGCTTTAGAATCTCAGAGTCCCAGTCCCTGGACCTCCAGTGAAGTTCCATTTCTCTCTCTGCTGCAGACACCATACATGTTTTAGCCACCCCCTCTGTGACTGGCCTGAGAAGAGCAGCTTGTGTATCCATTTCCCATTGGTCTTTACAGCGTCAAATGGAATGCTGAAAATTATGATGCATTTGAGAATTTGCCTGATAACTTTCAAAAGTGCAGAGATTTCAGTGAGGCTTCAGTGCTCTTGCTTCTACCAGCCCCGGTAGGAACTGCCGAAGGAGCCAGACTCCCTTCTTTGAAAATGAGCCCCTTATTAGGGAGCGGCCAACACCAGCTGCTCTC